CCCCAGCAGCCTCAAGAAATTCTTCTTTTTTTTTTTTATCTGTACAAATTGCAAAACGGGACTTTGGAAAATCTCCTTCCTTCCTTCACAGTTCATCACATCAACTATTTACAAGAGTTTCAAAATTAAACTCTATTCACAAAAGGTCAGAAGAATCAGAAGGCCACCGATATTTAACGCATCAGCCAAAAAAATGAATCAAAACGGAACGCGATCCACAAACGAGTTCACACAGCACTCGGGTTTCATTCACTCACTCACTCACTAGCTCCGAAACCCAGCCCACATCAGGAGCTGGCATGCCCGAGTCCGCTCGGCCGACTCTGCCCATCGAGTTTTCCTTACTCAGCCTCGCATACATTCTCGCTCGGAGGTCCCTCCCGGACTCCACCCTCTCCATTGCCGGCTCTTCCTCGCAAGAGTGGTCCCAAAGATCAACCGCTCCCGGTCCAGCCCGACCCGAGGTCCGAGTCGGAGTCGAAGGAAGGCTACAAAACGCGGGTCGGAGCGCAGACCCGCGTGGAGAAGAACCAAATCCAGATCCCATTTGTGGGCCCCATGCAGGCTGAGCACTCATTTTCATCTTAGCAAGCTTAAAGTTCCGCATCGAAGCGACGAGTTCACTCACCGAGTTACATCCGAGTTGAGGACTGTTGGGCGACATTGGTGGCGAGTCAGACGGCGGAGATATCGGCGGCGATATCAGGATCGAGGTGGGTGACGAACCGTACGAATACGAGTCGACTGCGCCCGACCCGTGAGTTCTCGGGCTCTGCCCGGGCAGGACCCGAAGTTGTTCGGGCGTGTGAGCAAAGAAGCAGACGCGGCGGTTGCAGCCCAGCCCATCCTTGCATGGCTGCGTCCGGTAACGGGCCGGGTGGAGCCAACACTCGAAAACGCCGTGCGCGAACTCGCACGAGTCGCCTTTGGCACAGTGGCCCTTGCGGAAGTCGGGGCAGGCGGCGCCCGAGTAGTGGTACTTTCTCGGGTCGCGGCGCCGGGCCTTCTCCCCCGGGTGGGCGTACGGACACTCGGTCCAGTCATGTGACCTGCCACGAGCGCATCGCCGGACCTTGAACTCGAACATCCGGAACTGGTCACAGGAGATCGGGTTCATGGCCATGTCCGGATCGTCGCCGAGCGAGTCAGACTCGTTCGACGGAAGGTAACGGTGGAGCGCGGCGAGCGAGTCGAGAAACATCGGGGAAAGTGGAGAGTAGTCTCCGTTACCGGCATTGCCGTTTACGTTAACGGTGGGATTTGGGGCGGAGAACGGCGACGTTGGGGTGAGATCGTCGAATGGGTCCCACTGAGGGACTTGGAGGGTCGGGTGCAGTCGGGTCGGTTCTCCTAGCATCATTTTCGTGTGGGGCTTGGACTTCGGAGTTCCTGCAAATGCGAGAGAAGATGGTCGCTGGGTGTCTCGTATATATAAACGGTTTTGAAGTAGGAGAAAGAAGGAGAGAGAGAGAGAGAGAGGGGGTAAATGCCAAGTCGGCCACATAGTCAGAGAGTGGGGTTGGGTTTTAAGTTAACCGTGGTGGAGTTAAATAACGTAACTGCGGTCAATTAACTCTAGTAAAATATCTACCGCCTCCAGAGTAGCCCTTCTATTTCCATGGAAAGCCAACGATTTTTCAAATTTTAATATATTTTACATTTTTAAAAACAATAAATCCCATTTTTAGTGCTGCACTTGCACCTTTTTAAAATATTTATTATAATTGCTTCGCACCCGTCAAAAATTAAAAAACCAAAAAAACAAATTATTGCTTGGAAGAAAGCCAACGAACACTTAGTTGATCTCAAACAAAGATTTATAGGATCGAATCCAATAAATCGGTGCATGAAACTTGTATAGATCTGGTTTGATGTTAAAAATGTTTTATTTTCCCCAATCAAATTTGCTTTATAACGTTTTTCACCTAAAAATGCATGCAGAAATGGAGGATAAGGTTCATGATCAAACAAAAAAGGAAGATAAGATCAAGCAATGAAAGTCATGCAACATTTCAACCACTTCGATTATGATTGATTATAGACTTATAGCTCATTGCTATACCCTAATCTTCAAGAGGCAAACAAAAATAGTACTTGCGTCTTTTCTTTGGAAGAGCTATTTTCATCAAAATTTGTGCAAAATTTAGATTTCTAAAAGAATAAAAAAGATTGCCCAGGACTTTTATGTTCAGTATTTGTTAAAATGGTCATTGGATAAATGTTTGTTCAAAGTAAGACATGTATTTATAAGGGGTTTATAATTTAAGTAGTTTGTATTAAAGAAAGTGGGATTTTTAATTATAGCGGTACTTGAATTTATAGCCGAGTTTTATTTTGATTCTTCAACTGATTTGTGTGTCATTTATATCTTTCACTTCTCATACGTGTTTCAATTTAGTCATTTCGTCAAAGTCTATCAAAAATTCTATTTTAGGGGTAAAACGTCAATTTTGATACTATTTTATCCTCTAAACCCAACAGAAAATATAATATAGAATAACTAAATTAGAACATGAATGAGAGTTAAAGGACCAAAATTACTGAAAAACGAGTTGAGCACCAAACTAAAATCGAATATAAGTTTAGGGGCCATTACAGTTAACATATATATCTCAAATGGGTCAAATTTTATAAGGTAATTAAAGCTCGTAATACGTAGAGATTGTGCATTCATTCCAGTGAGCTACTTGGATGGATTTATGAACTCACGGACAACGGGCCCTGGTTTGGTACAAATTAGTACCACCGGATTAAAATTGCACGTAGATTTGGGTCCAGGTTAACCTAACCGGGTCAAGGTGGTGATAAGAAGCTGGGACTGAGAGGTTGTGGGCTCAACCCCCTCAATAAAGAAAAGTTGACAGGTAGGCAAAATGTAATCGCGGTGGGACCCTCCGTCAATGGATGGTTCATAAATACTCTGGGATGGAGGGAGGGTTACGTGTAATTTAATTCTGTACGGCAACACGTGTGAGCTCGTCGAGCGATGCTGTGCGTACACGTGGTTGGTAGTTTCTCGAGGTGGCGGTGACTTATTTGTCCTTGGCTGACAGTCGCAGGGCTCTAGTGGAACGGATGGTGTACGTGTGGCACCTGATTGGCTCCTCCACATTTGCCCTCCTCGAGATCCTCATGATCTTGTCGACTCAGTCCACTGGAGATTTTATTTTTTATATTTATCTTGTTTTTCCTATATGTAAATTTCATCATGGTTATTTATCTTAGAACAAAACAAAATCTTAAACAAATGGTTTTCCCAAAAAATAAAAAAATTTCTTTAAAAAGTGGTAAGGGAAGATAGTCACAAATTAACAATGTCACTTTTGTTTGATTTATGTTTAATCTTTACTCTTTTGGTATTGAGAGTATGTTACAGTCAGTCACTCATGTACATTAAGAAGTCTTGAAACTAATCATGATTTGTTTTGAATGAAGACATGAACTTAGGTAAGTTAACTAGAGCAGTTGTTCCTCCCGTTATGCACTCGAATTCGAATTCTCCATTCCATAGTTTAGATTAATTTAAAATAAAATAAAACCATGCTCTTAGTTTTGGTTACGATGTTCGGTAATGTAAGTAGTTGGATGACGATGAATAAGTGGATAATCATTTAATCCCATGCATTTGGTTGGTCTACTTGAAAATTAGAATAAAGATGCTAGGCTTAGCAAAAAGAGAATGAAGATATTAATAATCGTGATTTGGTGGGGGTTTATGGAAGACAAATCTCATCGGCCCGTGGTTTAGGGCCTCGTGCTTGGTAAATGTCGCCAGGATACGCAGCACAGCACAAGATTAAATCACTAAATAAACCCAAATTGAGCACCAGGTTCTATCTTAATCGCAGTCATAAAACCCTTTTTAAAGCACTTGGAAGAGTTATAGTCTTCAACCATTAAATAATTATAAAACTAATGAAAGGAATTATTCTCAAACGGGTGATGGCTCCTTGGGTCGTTTTGCATCAAAATCGGCTCAAGCCCAAAATACAAAACGGGCATTTGAAATTGGGCTAATTTAATTTTAAAAATAAAATTATTTTAAATCATTAATCGTGGGAATTATAATCCACACAAGCTAGGGTTTTTGAGAAAAAGTTCGCCAAATCGGCTCTGACAAAGCTCGAAAAATCGGCCTAGGCATGTCCGGTCCTTTTTTTCCTTGAGGCCAGACCTACCAAGCTTCTTCTTGAGGCCAGAATTACCGAGCTCTCTCTCTTCCCCGACTTGGAGGGGCGGCGCTGATTCGATCACCTCGCCGAGGTTGTCGTCGTTCTGAATGTCTGACCCGTCTGTGGCTTTTTCACCCTCCATGGTGCAATCGGAACTCCAAGCGACGGTAGCACGGAAGTTGTGATTTTTGTGCGGGTGAGATTAAATTAGAGTGAGGGGATGAGACTACGAGGCACGGCGCGGGGTAAGGGGTTTAGAAAAAACATTTAAATAAATAAATAAACCCCAGTATAGCCGGCCGGCTATACTCTTTAAATAATGTATTTAACGGCTATACTTTTTAAATGATATATTTAATGGGTATCGTATAGCCGAGCGGCGATACTATTTAAATAATGTATTTAAAGGGTATAGTATAGCCGAACGGCTATACTCCTTAAATAATGTATTATATTTAACGGGTATCGTATAGCCGCACGGCTATACGTTTTAAATGATATATTTAATGGGTATCGTATAGCCGAGCGGCTATACTATTTAAATAATATATTTAAAGGGTATAGTATAGCCGTACGGCGATACTCTTTAAACAATGTATTTAAAGGATATAGTATAGCCGCACGGCTATACACTTTAAATGATATATTTAATGGCTATCGTCCGAGCGGCTATACTCTTTAAATAATGTATTCAAATAATATATTTAATGGGTAGATTATAGCCGCGCGGCTATTCTCGTTAAATAATATATTTAATACGTATAGCCGCTCGGCTATACAATTTATTAAAATAAAAGGACAAGCCTAGCGCCTGCAAAATTTGTTTTCCTGGCTGGGCAGGTCTGGCATCTCTGCAACTGCAAACACATCAAGCTAGGATTTTAGTGACTCACTCTTTCTCAACGTTTATCAACAACCTAAAGGTTAGCTCTTCCCAACAATTCACTTTTTTTTTCTGTGCATTCTTGATGTTGTGACTTTTAGAGTGCATTCATTTGAAATTTCTCAAATTGTCCATAGCCTAGAACAAGTTGTCAAGTTTTGTGATAAAATATTGGGCTCTTTCTATTGAATAAGTCCATGATTCACCTGAATTGCGTCTCTTTGAAACTTCAAACCCTACACCCTACAAGCTGAGAAATTGCAATTGAAAATCAGTTCCATTTTCTGTTTGCTAGGAAGCTGATGATGAACAAATATTCTCTTACCTAAAAGGAGTGTGCTTCTTTCTGGGGCTCCGATTGTCCCAGAGTTACTTGAAAAATTCAACTTTTCAGCATTGAAACACGTCTTCTTGTTGTTTTAAGGAGTGGGATTTGGTCGAAAATTTTCAAGGAGTGTACCAGACAAGGTTTTTATTCACTATCTTTTGTACTGCTTCAAAAACCATGTTGTTTAATTTTGTAGAACATGAAAACTGTAAAAATTGAGCACAATGAAGGAAACCTTATTCCTTTTTAGTTTTATTTTACCATCTGCTATCCCTCTGATATTGTGTTTCTCTATATAATTAGGTATTCCAAGTTTCAAAACGTGGCCATCACCTTGCATTTTCTTTTAATGAAGCGGGATATCAGCTCTGAACAAGTTGTCGAGTTCTCAAAATTGGAGCTTTGTGATAAATATTGGGCTCTTTCTTTTAATTAAGTCCACGTTTCACCTGAAATTCGTCTCTCTGAAAATTGAAAGCCTACAAGCTGAGAAATTGCAATTGAATTCAGTATTTTTCCATTTTCTGTTTTCGGTTTGTGTTATGTTCGGTTGCTAGGAAGCTGATGGGGAGCAGATATTCTCCAACCTAAATTTCCAGTTTCATGTTCCTTCTGTTGTTTTGACTGTTTACAAACTGAGTTGATCTGGTTGATTGTTTGCATCTGTTCTTGGATGGAAAGTTTCCATTCCCTTTTTCTTTTTTTGTCAATTCTCTCAGTAATGTAATTTGACTGAAATGCAGCTTTTGGATCCGCATTTGTGTTCACTCGTACATTTAGAGCCCAAAACACTCTTTCAATCCTCTCACATCAGTCTTAGTTGTTTTTCATTTACAGGCTTCTTTAATCTGCTTCTGGTGAAATCACATTTGTTCTGGCTCCTGTCATAGAATCTAACAATTAATTTACAGTCTTTTCATATGCATAAAGGGATTTTTGTAGACATGTCACCTGAATTTAATACATAAACCCAACAAATTGTTATGCTCCAACAGACTCAAAAAATTGTTATAAAAAGGAAAACCAATTTGCTTGATGTACTCAAAGATATTTTTTTTTGGTCGAAATGCAAATTCATTGAAAACCCACAAAACGGCAAGGAACACAACAAAAGGGCCAAGTAGGAGCACCCGCAAAGGACTAACGCAACAGCACCCAAACAGGACCATATCTAACTAAAACCCCGGTATAGGCATAGCATGAAGATCATGATCCCGTCCGAAAGAAAATTAATCAGGCATAAAGCCAGCAGTAAAACAAAATCCACACCTAACATGTGGTAGTAACACCAAATTGAAACAATAAAAATTACAGATAATACAGACAGATCTAACCCAAAATCCAGTAACTCTCAGAGCAGTCCAAAGGCACAAGAGTAGTAACCAAGTAACAGTCCAAAGGCACAAGAGTAGTAACCAAGTAACAGTCCAAAGGCACAAGAGTAGTAACCAAGTAACAGTCCAAAGGCACAAGAGTAGTAACCAAGTAACAGTCCAAAGGCACAAGAGTAGTAACCAAGTAACAGTCCAAAGGCACAAGAGTAGTAACCAAGTAACAGTCCAAAGGCACAAGAGTAGTAACCAAGTAACAGTCCAAAGGCACAAGAGTAGTAACCAAGTAACAGTCCAAAGGCACAAGAGTAGTAACCAAGTAACAGTCCAAAGGCACAAGAGTAGTAACCAAGTAACAGTCCAAAGGCACAAGAGTAGTAACCAAGTAACAGTCCAAAGGCACAAGAGTAGTAACCAAGTAACAGTCCAAAGGCACAAGAGTAGTAACCAAGTAACAGTCCAAAGGCACAAGAGTAGTAACCAAGTAACAGTCCAAAGGCACAAGAGTAGTAACCAAGTAACAGTCCAAAGGCACAAGAGTAGTAACCAAGTAACAGTCCAAAGGCACAAGAGTAGTAACCAAGTAACAGTCCAAAGGCACAAGAGTAGTAACCAAGTAACAGGAAGGAGGTGGTGCAGGCACCAGAGTCGGAACGTTGTCGCGGCTCGACACACCTTCCGAGGGGTACGCGAAAGCTCGCGGTTTGGGTTGACCGTAGTCTCCAAGTGATGAAGTCGGTTAGAAAGGGAAGTGGGGGGATCTGGGTTTTGACCAGCAACAACCCAAGAAATCGCATCTTCACCGGAATCGTAGACACCGACGCACCAAGGGGAAACCAGCAACCGAAGAGACGACGGCCACAGGACAGCTCTGAGGAGGATGGAACGGTGGATATATGAGGGATCTAAATAGATAAGAGGCATGAAGCCTACGATACAAGCAGGGTATGCTCGAACACTAGAGAGAGAGAGAGAGAGAGTCATGCATGGTTGTTAATTTCATTATTACTCAAAGATAGAACAAAAAAATTCATGACTTCTGGGTAGAATACCAAATGGGTCTTAAAGTCTTCAACCATTAAAATGGAGGAGGATTAATTATGAAACTAATTAAAGGATTATTCTCAAACGGGGAATGGGTCGTTTGGTCGTTTTGCATCAAAATTGGCTTAAGCCCAAAATACAAAATGGGCTTTTGAAATTGGTTTATGGGTTCTCAGTTTGCCAAGAAATTTACTTACCAGTTCTTGGGTCAAGACTCTTGAACTATTAGACACGTTTTGAGAGAGGCATAGATACCTAGTCCCATATATATACAAAACGATAGTCTAAACTACAGGAGAGAGAGAGTTTCTCACACATACACAACCAAGATGTTAAGGGATTCGAACTTAGGGGGCTTCTCCAATGCGAACTCTAAGATGCGAACTCGTTGCGAACTTTTGTTTTTAACCGTTGGAAAAAGAGCGAAAAGAAAGAAAATAAAGCCACACAAGCCATCCAACGGTTAAAAACAAAAGTTCGCAACGAGTTCGCATCTTAGAGTTCGCATTGGAGAAGGCCCCTCGAACTTAAGATCTCTTAGAGCATCCGCAATGGTTGTTCAATAGTTCAATAAATTGATCTTTTTTGGCATCTACTGAATTGAACCACAATTTTACTTGCAATAGTACAGTTTAGTAGCTTCAGATAAATAATTTATATATTTACACGTTTTTTTTACATACTCAAATAAAATAAGGGGTATGATTTCCCCACTCCCCTTTTCTCAACTTACACTCCCTTTTGCTTTTTAATACTTTTTAATCAATTTTGTTCTTTCTCTTTTCTATTCTACCCTTACCTTACATTAATTTCTTTTTACTTCACTTTTATATTAGTTTTTTTTTTCTTTATACTTAATTTTCCAACTTGCACTCAATTTTCAGTATTTTTTTTTTCCTTTAATCGGGTAAGAAATTAAGTTTTTTTTCTTTCCTTTAATACTAAAAATGGAGTGTAAGTTGGAAAATTAAGTATAAAGTAAAAGAAATAACATAAAAGTGAAGTAAAAAGGAAATTAATGTAGGGTAAGGATAATAGGATCTGGTCTGGAATTTGGAGTTTGAAGGTGGTCCCAAAGATTAAGAATTTTCTATGGAGAGCTATTTCAAATGCCTTGGCAACTAAATGGAACTTGTGGAAAAGGCACCTCACACGTGATCCTATCTGTGGCCTTTGTGGGAACTTTGAGGAAACTATTGAGCATGTTTTGCTTCTTTGCCCTTGGACCCAAGGTGTTTGGTTTGGTTCCCACTTGGGATACCGTCATAGCCCTCAACTTATTACTGCTCTAGATAGCTGGCTCACTAATATCATGGACAATAGATCGAGAAACAAATATATCAGAAAGGACCTGTTGAACTCTATCGCTATAATATGTTGGGAGATTTGGAAAGAGAGATGCTATGTCCAATTTCATGGTGGTATCCCCAACCCTGTTTCGATTCTCTGTCGTGTTTCTTCTGGTATTGCGGAGCTTGTAACCTGTCATCAGAGAATTTCTTCTGATCATGTGGAAACACCTCTCCGTTGGCGCCCCCAAGAGGCTGGTCATTTCAAAGTAAATGTGGATGGGGCGTGGAAGAAAATCTCTTTGAGGGCTGGCACGGGAGTGATTATCCGGGACCACACGGGCCATTTTGTGGGAGGTGGAGCTAACTTTTTGATTCATTCCTCCCCTAGGGAGGCAGAAGCGGAAGCGGTCCTTTCTGAACTACGTTTGGCCCAGGACCTTCATCTAAGCCACATTACTTTGGAAAGTGATTCTATAGATATCATTGACAGCATTTGCAAGAAGAATCACAAGGTGCACTGAAAATTTTTCCCCATACTGAAGGAAATTAGACGTTGTGCCCATATCTTCTCTTCTGTTCATTGGAGTTGGACGCCTCGCGTCACAAATGAAGCAACCCATGCAGCTGCAGCTTTAGCCAATTCGAGGGTGAAAACGCTTTGTTGGGTTTCACAACCCCCTCCCTCTCTGGTCTGTGTTCTTACGATGGATGGCCTCCATGGCCCTCCATAGATCATGGTGTTTTGCTCTTCACATTTCTTCTTTGTCTGGGACCTTGCTATTTCCCCTGCTGCTGGATTTTCGTCCTTATGAAGTTATTGTGATTGTCTTGTTTATTAAAGTATTTCTGTTTCCTTGTGCTGTCCTGGTGGATGCTTCATCCCCAGATGTATGTGGTTCTGGTCCTCTCCAGGTTTGCTAATGAAAGCTCCGCATTGACAAAAATAAATAAATAAATAAAAGGAACAAATTTAATAACACTAAAAATGGTACAATTGCTATATTCTCAAAGAGATCTTTAAGAAGAGGAAAATTTTGAATATATTTGAAATAATTAATTAATTAATGTATTTTTTTTAAATTGCATTGAAATATTGAACAACCATTATGGATGCTCTTAAAAACATAATGCATTAATTGTTGTATTTTTTTCATTTTTTATTGGCATGTGGGTCCCATAGTTAGCCTATTGCAATTGCAATAAAGGGTTCACCACATTATACCCTCTATTGCAATGAACTAAATCACATCATTGTAAGTGAGATTTTACTGTTTTAGTTCAATTTCATGCAATAAAATTGCATTAATTCTAACCATTGCAGATGCTCTTATCTATAGGTCAATACATTTTTTTACCGAGCTAGACCCATAGATGTATTAACATTATCTTTAATTCTTCATTTATTTGTCTTATAGAAAATTACTACTCTTGCTATATTTTGCAAAAACTAAAACCCGTCTTAATTTTTGGTCTGCCTAAAATGATTATTTCATATTGATGGAACAGTTGTACCCAATCTTATATCTTTCTGGGCTTGCAGCCTTGCACACAAATTTGAAATTTGCAAATGAAAATTCAAAGTTGGGCTCCACTCTTATAAATATAACCATTGACTCAATGAGCACAGATAGTTCTGAAAGCCCAGTCTTACCTAATTTTGCAAAGGATCCAACAGCCAAAAGATTAATATCATTCATGAATCTTGCAATCAAAGGCTATAAAAGCAAATGAATATTCAAATCATCAATTAAACCCTGTGGAGAGCTTCCATTCCAATACAAGCATACCACCAATCTGCAAGACAAAGCAAACCACAATCCTTGGAACAACAAAGAAAGAACCAAGATTTTTTGTCTTGTTTTCTAATTTATTTGTTCAGATTGGTAGAGTCGTTCGTTGCTTTTAAGGATTGTCGATCCAATTGTTTTGTTTGGGTTAAATTAAACCCAGATAGACAAATAAGAAATGGTCCCGCGCTTTTCGTAGTCTTCACTT